GGCTGGGGCAAGGCTCGTCCGTCCCGGGCCTGCGGCCCCGCGTCCGGGGGCGGCGTGCCCGGCCCCGCCGGCCGCTCCTGCCTCTCGATCCAGGCGTTGTAGTAGCGCACGATGTTCTCGTGGTGCAGGCGCGACAGCAGCGTCACCTCGCCCTTGATCCTGCGGAAGTGCTTGCTGGCGGGGTTGATGACGATGCGCTTCACCGCGTAGCAGCAGCCGTCCAGCTTGTTCTGCACCTGCCGCGCGGGAAAGGGAAGGGACCGACGGTCAGCCACTCAGCACCTCGCACACACTGGCATTTGGCCGCGTCACCCCGTCCCTTCCCAAAGACAGCCTGGAGTTCTGAGTTCAACAGCTACAGTCGAGAACCACACGTCTGAAACTCTTAAGCTGAAGCAAGTCTTGACTGCCAAAAACTTAGAAAAAAATCTCACCCCAAACTAGATGTATGTAGCTTGCTAAGAGACCCTGGAGAAAACATAATCTCCATTTTAATCATTGCTTTTATTCACAGTTACATCCCTGCTTTTCCAATATCACATCTGCTATCTAAATTTCTAAGTAAACCTTGTTTTAAAAATAATTATTTTCTTAAGCCAGTGTAAGGTTTCAGAAGATGATTTTAGTTTCTCTCTGATTTTTTCCTTTTTACACTTCAAATCAGTAAACACAAACTAAACAGCAAAAATTCTAACAGACCTGAATGCGAATTCTAATTCTTCACTTATAAAGACAAAGCTGTGTGAACTTGGGCAAATGACTTAATTTCCTTGAAACTCAGTTTTCTTATCTGTAAAATGGCATTGAATCCACTTCCTTTACCTCAAAGGTGACTGTAAGGATTCCACTAAATGAGGTGAGTGAGTATCAAGGCTCCACAGAGAAAGGTGCTCAATAAAAAAAGTAGCTGGTATTAACACAATTGCCGCCCTCTGATTTCATTACTAAGACTAAAGATATACTAAAACTAGAACAATACAATTACGAACACAATAAAATAAAAACACACAAAAAAGTTTCAAAGGCAAGTCTCCACATCCTATACAGAGGCATCCTTATCCCGGCAGTCTCAGTATGCAATTGGGTTGACTGAAGTAAATTTTATAAGATTTCGTTCACTGGAACATTCCAGTCCCAACTAATGAAAAGCAACAACTTGGCCACGGGCAGAAGAAGAAACTAGTGGATTACAAAAGACAAAAATAGAGCGTTATTCTCTTGTTTGGCTCATAGGTTTCAATTAGTGTACTAAAAAACTACTTCTAGGAATGAGAAAGGAGTATTATAAAATTGAGTTTCAGATTTCCTTTTTTTGTGTATGGAAACAGTGTCAAGAAATATGCTTTCGAGTAAAACAGGTGTGGGTCTGAATGCAGGTTTCATCCTCTAGTGGATGTATGTAACCTCAGGCAAATTACATAACTTCTCTGAGCCTCAGTTCCCTCATCTGGAAAATGGGGATAATACCTATTTCATAAGAATGTCACCAGATTGTAAGACAAGGTTAGTGAGCCACCTGGTACACAACCTGAAATATGGAATGTGCTCAAAAAAACGACAGCCCTGTGTTCTTCTACTGCTACACTAATACAGTGGAGGACAGTAGGAAGTCTTGGCATTGTCTTTCACCTCCTGTCTCAGGACACCACGTGTTCACTATGCATCATTGACTGGGGGTGGAGCTTGCTACTCTGGAAACTCCTAGGAATTCACTTATTAAAATGGAAAGGTGCATTAACAGTAACGGTGCGAGTGCTAACAAAATGCCAGACACTGAGCAGAATGCCCTACCCTAATCCAGAAATAGAGGTGGGGTGTGAAGGCTGTGGGCTTCTCATAGGCAGAAACTGGAGGAAAAACTTGGAGGCTTAGATTACTAAGACATTTTTGTTATATGAGCTTACTAATCATTCTTAAGTACTTGTCAGGAAATGAAGTTTGATCATGTTCTGCATTCAAGATTCTAAAATATACAGTTAAAAGACTTAATCAAAATTACAGTGTAAGAGATAATATATATTTCACTCATCCACTCCTCTTGAAGATAACTATGATTACCTGATCAGGATCTCTGTCTGCCCACAGATGTAATTAATCATCTAACTATAATATCTATACTTTCAAGAAGAAAGGTGAAAATTTCCCATGATACTATAATTTTCTTTTGGAAAACTTGCTTAAGATTGTCTTTCTGTCCCTGATTACTGAAGAAAAAACAAATTCAATTCTTTTTTTGGTGTAAAAGGCCTTTCACAGTAATACCAGTAATGCTTCCTAATAATATTCTCAGGATCCTAAACAGACATACGCCCTATTGATGGTGGGCCACTTTCTTATGTGTACGATGACATATATCTTATACAGATTTAATAATATAATATTAATCTGGGTCTCCTCAAGTCAAACAAAGCACTTAAATTATATAAAAACAGCTGAAATCTCTTTCTCAAGGGGCAGATAGTAATAAAAGTCACCCAAACAGACTGGAATGAAGAAGAGAAGACCTAATAACAGCACACCTTAATAACACATCATTAATTTTCCATCTCAGTAACAGCTAGAAAATAAAAGCCATCAAGACCATCTGGGGCCATTTGTCAGTTCGAATTCCATCTCAGTTCTAACCTTGCAGCCCTTTTATCTACAGTAACTCAGAAAGCAAACGGGAGAAAAAAAGAACAATTTTCTTTCTGAACCAAAGCACACAAAAATGTTCTTCACGTAGAGATCTTGACTCCACTTGAAGTGCTGTTACAACCCTGTGGTTTTCCCATGAATGTGCCTCTTCAAACGGGGGGGCGGTGGGGAGGCGGGGTGGGGGGCCGACGATGCGTCCTTAATGTATCCAGTGTCACTCTAAACAAAGCCTGTACCTCTACAAAGGTGACGGTAATCATAATTTCAAATGGTCACATTCACTTCCCTCCCCACTCTCAGAATAGAAGTCAGGTCCATAAGTATGCAGAAATGGAACAGAGAAGGAGCTCTCAAAGGGATGGGGGACAACTCTGTACCACACCTTGATGACGGCCCCAAAAGCTCCTTTGCCAAGAAGCTGTAATTCTTCAAATTCAATGAAATAGCGGGAAAACTGTCTCTGTGTCTCACTGAAGAATGCAGCACTGGGTGGCTGGGTGCTGGGAATTACAGTCTCAACATAATCTTGGCCTCCAGAATCTGCAATAAAACAAAAGGCAAGAGGCAAAGGAGGCACTAGCAATACAGGAAGGGCTGCAATATCCAACAACAATGCAGGCGCTGGAAGAAGGGGCCCCAACCAGGAGTTTGAAAAGATACCTCTTACTTTTAATACTTTTCCTCACCTTGTTCTCCTTAAAATAGACAGAGATATACAATTAGCCCAAGTTTATAGGTGGAGGTAACAGAGTAAGGAAATGACTGTACGACAGAGCCAGAACCCAACCCCAGGCTCCTGAGCCATCCCAGGCTCCAGTGAGGTTCTTCAACCTGCTACTTGAGTAGCAGCAGGGACGTCCAGTTACATGGCAGTAGGGGTGACATGGCAAGGAGGACACTAGAAGAGGTAACACCAACGGACACTCCACCAGCAGAGATGGGAAAAACCAGCATGGCAAAACAGTTCCATACACACAGTACAGATTAAATGAATGGATTTATGTATATATAGCTGGGCATAAAATAGGTAAAATAAATGATCCATGCAGTCCCTTCCAGTTTTAGCTTTATGTATACTTTCAAAATAATTTATGTCAAATAGACTATCAAAAGAGAGTGGTAACAGACTCACCTTCAGGACTTTGTTCCAGTAAAGGCATTTTTGGCTGAGGATTTATAAAGCTGTGTTTCAACAACTGCTGAGGACTCCATCTTTCCTTGTCATCCAAGCAAACACACCTCAGTGAGAGGGAAGAAAGAATCTCAGCAGCACACAAAATAAATGCTAAACTAATTACTTCAAGCCTTTTAACTATGGGCTTATTTTATTTTATTTTATTTTTGTGTGTGTGTGAGGAAGACTGGCCCTGGGCTGACATACATGCCCACCTTCCTCTACTTTATATGGGACGCCACCACAGCATGGCTTAACAGGCGGTGCGTCAGTGCGCGCCTGGGATCCGAACCGGTGAACCCCAGGCCGTCGCAGCGGAGCACACGCACTTAACTGCTTGCACCATCGGGCCGACCCTGTGGGTTTATTTTTAAAAGATACACTTTAGAGAATTCATGTTACTTATGGACCAAAATGCACTCATAAGTGAATTTAAATTAATAAATATTCCTGCAGGAGTTACATGCTGAGCACCAGGCTGGGTACAAAAGTGGGGAATCAAAAAAAGGTACAGTCACTAGAGGCAAGAAGACTTACCCTCACAGAACAACTATTTAAAAGTCTAAGATAGCACAAGTAGGTTATGAATTTTCACTCCCACTAATAGTTTAATGACTTGCCATGCTAAACTAAGCCTTTCTGGGGACCAGTCATAAATAAAGGTTTCTAAAGGTAAAGCAAATCAGATAGCTGATGCAGGGTTGGGCCCCAATATGATAAACTTTAGATGAAGCTTGTTTGAAGTAAGTTGGTAAAAATTAAGAACGACTTTTAAAAAGTCCCACATTTTTATCACATAGCTACTTTTAGTTCTCATTCCTTGAGCCTATTAACTTCCTGTTTAATGTTGTAATAATTCGTTTTTTAACAAATGAAAACAAGCCATCCCTTTAACCCAGTGATTCTCAAAGTGGGGTCCCTGACCATCAGTATCACCTGGGAATTTGTTAGAACTATACATTCCACTCCATCCCAGTCCTAGAAAATCAGCGCCTCTGGGCGTCTGGGCAGTAATCTGACCGCTAACAACCTCTCCAGGTGGTTTCAATCCAAGATAAAGTCTGAGAACCACGGTTCTAACTCTAAACTGTTTGGCTTTCATAACAACCACCCAAGTAGCATGGCTTTGTAGCACCTGACTCTACTTATAAACAATGTATTTAAAAGAATCAACCATCATTGTGAATTATGGACTTAAAATCTATACGTATAAAGTGGTGACAGCAACTATCATAAAGGGTAACATTTTATTTTTTTATGTCACAGCACTAAAAAGTAAAGCACTACTCATTTCATACCCTGAAAGGGCTAGAAAAGATCGCAATAAAAGCATTTGTATAAGATACTGTATTTCCCCTAAATTTAAATTTTTTAATTACATCAGTAAAACATGAATACCTTTCTCCTTGCAAATATTAAAACGTTACTGATAATGATAGAGTCTCTGACAACCAATCAAACAGAAGATAGTTTTGTTTTGTGGATATTGATTTTTTTTTTTAAATGAAATTATCCTGTACATATTCTTCCTCAACTTGCTTTTTTCATTTGACCAAACGAAAAAAGGTTCTGCACTCAATTCCACCATGGGGAGGGATGTTTCCCCACACCCATAAGCAATTCTCTGACACCAGCTGGGTGTCATACAATTCAACTCAATTCTGACATTATCTACCTGGAGATAGCATCAGATCTCACAGGTTAAGAATTTAGTCTTACATGACTGTCCCCCAACCCCCAATTCAGATGCAAATTGCAAGCCCAGGTTGTCACCTGTGCTTTTGACCAATTGCCTATAGATCAGAGGTTCCCAGGACCTCCACCTCAGGTTCGATTAATTTGCTAGAGCAGCTCACAGAACTCAGAGAAACATTTTACTTACTAGACTATGGTTTATTATGAAAGGATATAACTCAGGAATAGCCAGATGGAAGAGATGCACAGAGCAAGGTATGTAGGAAGGGGTGCGGAGCTTCCCTGCCCTCTCCAGGTGTGCCATTCTCCCAGCATCTCCACGTGTTCACCAACCTGGAAGCTCTCCGAACCCTGTCCTTTTGGGTTTTTATGGAGGCCTCATTACATAAGCATGATTGATTAAATCATTAGCCACTAGTGACTGAGTCAACCTCTAGCCCCTCTCCCCTCCCCAGAGGTCAGGGGGTGGGACTGAAAGTTCCAATCCTCTAATCACATGGTTGGTTCTCCTGGCAACTAGCCCATCCTTAGGTGCCATCCAAAAGTCACTTCATTAACATAACAAGAGACACCTTTGCCATTCTCATCACTTAGGAAGTTAAAGGTTTTAGGAGCCCTGTGCCAGAAACAGGGATAAGACCAAATATATATTTATTATAAATTACAACATCCCACCATGCGTCTTAGATCTTTCTAAGCCAGTACCTAAAGATCTTTTTGAATTTACCAAAATTTATTTACACATCCTCCTACTTTGGACATTTAGATTATTTTCAATTTTTCACTTGTAAAAAAAATGCTGCAGAGGCCAGCCCGGTGGCGCAAGTGGGTAAGTGCACAAGCTCTGCTGTGGCGGCCTGGGGTCCGCCGGTTCAGATCCCAGGCGCGCACTGATGCACTGCTTGGCAAGCCATGCTGTGGCGGCGTCCCATGTAAAGTGGAGGAAGATGGGCACGGATGTTAGCCCAGGGCCAGTCTTCCTCAGCCAAAAAAAAAAAAAGAAGAGGATTGGCATATGTTAGCACAGGGCTGATCTCCTCACAAAAAAAAAAAAAAACTGCTGCAAAGAACATCCCTATACATGCCCTGTTGGGTTTCTGAAGTACATTATCAACTCTAACTCAACTGTGACAGTAATGTGCTTGACATCACAATAAATCCGGATCAAGAAAATTGTGAAGCCTACCTAGAATGAATTGTATCTTTATGAGATTTTATAGCCATCAAGATCTCAGTTAAAAAGATGAAATTCTCTGAGCCAATAATTTTGGCATCAAAGTAGCCATAAGTAACAGAGGCACATGTTAGGTCCAGTTTTGAACCAAAAGGGATGAAATGCGTAGCAAGTTACACATTAGGTCCATGTTCCCACCACTGAGGATGGCAATGATGATGAACGCTGACTCAGCAGGGCCAAGTCCTAGGCACTGCTGGAAGCACTTCACAGGTGTGAGCTCAATGAATCCTCACAACCATCTCATGAGGGCGGTGGTGCTGATATCCCCATTTTTCAGAGGAGGAAACTCAGGGTGGGGAGTTGAAGTCACTCAGCCAGTAAGGGGTAAAGGGGGGATCTAAACCCAGCTGTCTGGCTCCAGAGTCTGGGCTCCTTCCCATCCAGACACTGATTTGAAACAAAACCTTTCTCCAAAGGATGTTCGCCAATAAGTAAAAATATAACTACGAATGAAACGTTGCTATGCTTTCGTTGTCTGTGTATGATTTTTTTTCTTTTTTTAACTGGCACTGGACAGCAAAGGTAGTACCAATACAGTGCAGCTCCTTCTGAACCAAGCACCATCCATCAAACCACTCTAGGAAGAGAGAGGAATATACAAACATTCTAAAGGACAACCATGTAAACAGAATAAGAAATAGTGCTGATCTCAAGTTCAAAACCAACAGGGCTTAGAGCTATTCTCAAGGGAAAACTAGAAAAGTTTTAGCTACTGAGTCCATCATTTTGCTATTAAATCTGAAAGATACGTTCTACTTAAACTTCCCAGTGTTGTTTTTAAAAATGCATAATGCTATTGGCTAACTGTTACTAAATTATTCTTGACCAACGAGGAAGGGCAGAAAGCTAAAAGCCACATTTTGAAGAATGAAATGAGTCTTTCCATCAGTGGTTCTATCCCCATATTTCCTTTGATGCCATTTTAGCCAACCTCATTGTTAGGGTGCATTTAAAGAAATATTTTTAAAGTTCTATTGCATTTAAGAGAAATCATAAAAGATTTCTTCAGAAATCTTAAGATGTTTATGTACTTTAAGGAGAGAACACAGTGCAAAGAATCACAGTTGGCCCCTTTCCACAACTGTATGTTATATCTATTTTATGGTACGCAGAAACTATCTTATTTAAATATAAGTACAGCTACTTTCACTTCTGTAATGGGTAAGACAACGAGTGACAGGAAATAATGTGGATCAGGTCAAGTGGCAGTTGGGATAGATGAGAATAGGAGAAGAAATATAAAGGATAAAAGAAATGTGGGGAGTGGATGAAGCGAATAAAAGCAAATAGTTGAGAAAAGAAACAAGACAGAGTATCAGAAAGGGAAGAAACCAGTCCAGGTCAACTTCTGCAGGAAGGCTGGGCCAGGGGAGTATCTAGAAAAACCCACACTAAAGGTGTCTTATTTCCCATTTAACAGAGAAACAGCGAGAACCCATGTCTGGCTTGGACTGAGATCAGAGGCAGGGCTAAACTGGAAAACACTGAACTGAAGGACCTGGACAAAGATTTTAGGCCCGAGAAAAACCTCTCAGTCAGGATGCTCTCAAAGCGAATAAAACTTGGCTCGGTAATTAAATGTGCACCTGTAATTTACAGATATCGAAAACCCTCTGACCAGAGCAAGGAAGTCATTTGCCTCCTATGACTTGGCTGAATGAGACGTTGCTAATGCAGAAGGACAGTTAAGAACAAGGGGCAGAATCGCACTCCTAAGGCTGTTTTCTAAATAGAAGGCTTTGTCTTTGACCCTTTAAGAACCAGCAGCTAAGGTGGAGAGAGAGGTATTTCATTTGGAATACTGGGGCATTTCTCCCCATAGCATCCCTAGTGAATTCCCAGAGTATACCAGGCAGTCCCCAAAAAGTAGTTTGAAGATCTATTATCAAGCCCAAGTGAATTTAGGAGAATGTGGGAGTTAAGGGAAGGATAAACATAAGGGAGAAAACAGAACACATTTGGTTAGGAAAGAATTGGGACAATAAAGGATTAATTCTAATCTTGTCTCTCACTTTTCAGCTTATCCACAACACTTAGATGTTTAGCATTCAAGCACAATCAAAAGTACAGCGGGAAAGTGCAATTAGAATCTCAATGATACTCACTTCTTCAGAAAATCTTGAAAGTCTGCTGGTAAGTCATTAGGGATGGTCACAGGGTACTCTCCACATTCTTGTCCTTGGCTGAGGGAGAGCAGCAGAAGGCCAAGACGCCAAACATCCCCTTTCTTCCCCGTTTTATAAGGTAGGGCACTGTCACTAAAACGAACCCGGGTTTGCTCGAACACATCCTCCTTGCAAATGTCTGCTAGGCGCTTAGAGATGCTGTAGTCCGTAATCTTGACAGTGCCCTCTGCGTCCACCAAGACATTCGATGCACTCAGAACCTTGTGCACCACAGAATTGCTGTGCAAATAATCGAGGCCCGACAAGAGCTGAGCTGTGTACCTGCGAAGCTGATGTACGGGAATGGGGCCTGAGTGGCTCAGGTGTGCAGCGAGGGAGACCCCATTAATGTGCTCCACTAAAATGTCCACCACAATGGAGTCGTCTTGCTCTTTGAGATTCATTGCAAGGTAGCGTACTACATTTGGATGGCTCAATTTTACCAGTGAGTTGAATTCCGTTTCTGCCCCTTGAATCTGATAAGGAAAAACACCAATAAGATAATATTGAGTTGAATAGCATTAACTGCTGTTTCACTTCAAAAGTGAAGTATTTAATACAAAATACACTTTCAAAGGAGGGAAGGAATATGCCCTGAAATGAAAACTCCCCTAAACCATATCATCAATCTAATAGTTCATAAAGATGGAAAAAATTTAGTTAATTCTCAAATTCTTTACCTCACAATCTAGAGTATAAATACTATAAAATTAGTAAACAGCTTTTAAAAGCAGTTTCTTTTGCAATATGGCCACCAGAAAAAAGAAGAAACATTAATTTAAAAATAACCTTTTTTGATTATAGAGATTCACTGTCAAAATTTTAATAAGTACTAATACAAAAGAAAAATCCCCGCAAATTATCTATATGGTCACCACCCAAAGACAACAGCTATGATTTCAGTGTATTTACTTCCAGTTTTTCTTTCTATCATAAATACACACATTTTAAACATAATGCTTTACCTACAACAATAGGTTACTTCCTTATTATGCAACACTGCAATATGCAATACTAAATGTTGTCCTTAAACTCAGTATTACAAATTAATTTTAAAGTTCTCCAGTCCCCTAAAATTCAGTTTTGAAGCAATATTTCAAAAAATTGCAAAAAAACACAATTATGAAGTACTATTTAGTCCCAGTTGGAGAGACGGCTAGTAATGCCACAATAAAGGCAGAGAATGGAGGTTAGGAAAGCAGCTGCAAAAGTTTTGACCATGTTCTGAAAGTTCTGAAAGAGACAGCAAGGGGCTGAGAGAACTCTGGTAAAGAAGATGCTGGTCCCGCTCTGTCCCCTCTGGTTAAACAGCTCTCATACCATTCTGGATCATCTTTGAGAGCCGATCGGATGCAGAGCTATTTTGTTCTGTCATCTCCTAAAGCTCAAGATCAGGCCTTCCTTTTGCTCAGGGAGCCATCTTGGATGCCTACCTGCTTTTTGCACTTATCAATCTTCTCTTTTTCTTGACTGGTAAGGAATGGACCCATTTTTTTCTGCCACTGAAGGACCCACTCATACAACAAGACAAAGCTGCCAGTGGTTGTTTCCAAAGCATTGTAAACTAGTTTTCCAAGCTGCTCTTCACTGCCTGCACATTAAAAGGAAAAATAATTAAATCTCACTGGTACATTTTCTCTGAGGGTAAAAAAGAGGAGATATACATTCGTTTGTTCAACAGTGGGTACCATGTACTACCTATGAAAAAGATGACTTCATGTCATATATGTTCTTTTGTAACCAAGTTTTAATATTTAACAATATACTTTGAGCCCTAAAATATTAATTTTTATAAAGGGCCAAGAATTAACAATGAGACGTTATAGCAGACCAATGTGTTCTTCTACTAGCCATTATTCACCATGTTACTTTCATAACCAGTTCAGCTCTGAAGACTGTGCCTACTGGTGCCACAGTGTAACCTCACACAGCTAAATACCGACTAATGTGATAGAAGGAATCTGGGAATAGGAACACTCCATCAAGATTACTCCATCAATGTAATTAGCATGCACAGTAAAAACAGGTTTTAGTAATTTGGAAACGTGAATACATCAATGATTTTCTAAATACAAAATCTGAGTATGCCCAGTACGTATACACCAGCCAATGGTTTCAGACGAAGGAACCAGAAATGACCATTTAAATTTGAAGTTAGACAGGGAGACACATTTAATTATAGGCATGGTTTCCACTTGTACCTGTGAGAGCTAAACTTCTGTAATACCAAATATTTTCCTATAAAAATCTTTATGTTCATTAAAGATTATAATAGTAAATTACCAAAAAATTGGAAATGGAGAAAAATATCACCCACAATATCACCATTTTTGTTTTATTTCTCTTCTAGTTCCCCCTACCTTTTATTCCTAATTTACCCTATCACCTCATATATCAAAGGGTTTCTTAGCCTTGACACTATTGACGTTTTGGACTGGATAACCCTGGTGGGGGCTGTCTTGTGCACTGTAAGATGTTTAGCAGGATCCCTGGCCTCTACCCACTAGATGCCAGTAGCACCCCCACCCTACGCTTAACCATCAAAAATGGGTCCAGACATCACCAAATGTCCCTGGGGACAAAACTGCCCTCAGATGAGAACCACTGATATACAGTATATAAAAGTACTTATATACTTTTTCTCTTAGTATATAAGTAATAAAGTTTTCCCTGCTACATTGTCTTCATAATGAAAAAAAAATTTTAAAGAAACAATAATTATTATTTCCATTTAAAAAATGAAAAATTACCTGTATAAAGAAGACAAAGTGATCTTAGCAAAAATACTTTGGAGAAATGTGGCTAAACTAGCTCACCTAGACTTTTTATCTGAGAAGCAGTTTTTACTTCATAGAAATGCTGACAGTTTAAGAAATTTTAATTAAAGTGATCTGTTATGCTAGTCATAAATAATTCCTGAAGTTCTTAGCCTAAGGGGAAAAAACTCTGATGTCTGAAAATTTGTCCACCAAAGGAAGCAGCCTGTGGAATGTGGGACCTAAGCAGTACACACTGGAGACACAAGATATTAAATGTTTATGGGATGGAGTGTGATGTTATTTACATAAAGCCTAATTAAACTTGTGCCTTATACAGCGCAATGTCTTACAATATTTCTCTCCTCAATTGGAACTAGGTGGGTATTTCATAATTGCTGGTTGGTTTTTTTTGTATTATAATTTTAGTATTTCCATCCTCTTCCTGTCTCTTGTGTGTGATGGGGATAATAAAAGGGACAAAAGAACACATTGCAATGAGGTTGAAGGAAAATATGTTACCAAAAGAACTCTGATTGATCCTCTATTATGTGCTAACAATGATTATTTATACAGACAGTCCCTATAGTACTTTATCCATATCCCTAAGGAGGTTCTCCATTCGCTCTAGTTCTAATAGCTTTAAACTGAAAAACAAATGCTAATTAGCTGATTTTTCATAAAAACATTTCATAGAAAATTAGGACATATTTTAAAAATTAAACCCGTTGTGAGAAAACAAAATAAATAATTTACTTGATTGTTTTATAAAAAATTTTCAGATTGCAAACATGTCTCCTAATGAGAGTATTTACTAAGGTGAATCTGTCTAATGAGCACCAATGAGAATCAGAGACCAAGTTAAGGTAATAAGCAGTTGGATTCATTTGCCCTCCTGATTTCCCCAGATTATTAAAAGTAGTGAGTTTTATGTTGTCAATTCATGAGTCTTAAATGCCTCTGAGTCAAAGAGAGCCTCAGGACCAAAGCCAATCATCTCTACCAAGGTCCTGAACCTGCCCCATAAATGGTCGCTCTGTCTAAATAGGGCAGGCTCTGTGTACGTGGAGAATCCTGGGAAGTCCGGCTGCTTTCAGCCAGCAAGGCTAACTGCCCAGTTCGTGGACTAGTCAGATGTTTGGTTTCTTCTCCTCCCACCTGCTGCCTGCTCCCTGGCGATTCCCCTGCTTATTTGTATCTCCTTAAAGAGGAAGAAAAAAGAGACACTGAAAGAAAGCAAACTTGATTTAGGTAATTTGGCTACCTGTTAGCTCTGGTAAGAATCTTCATGGGATTGAAAATTAAACTTAATTATTGAATTTAGTATATGCAAGTGATCCCTACACCAATTTAGTGGCTATATCTTTATGGCTGAAAAAAGATGATATACGTTTAAGGCAAAGGTAGTTGATATTGAAAACTTGATTTTAATATAAGCAATTTGAATCCTGAATTGCTGAACCAGCTGCACTCCAAATAGCCATCAGTAGACAAAACAGCTAAATAAGACATAGAAAATAAAGTGGTTTTCCTGGTCAGGTACAACATGCCAAGCAGGAAAATGCTAAGCAGATGGATATCACCTTAAGAAAATGGGACTTAGTCATTAAAGATCACAGGCATTAGAACTCATTTTGTTACACAAATTTTTATCAGCAGTAAATGCACATGATGCTAAATTTTACTGATTCATAATTTTTCAACCATTTTGGTTTCAATAAGCATAACTATAATGACGACAAACTTTACCTTTCTGCTTACAATATTTCCAAGAGCCTAGGTGTTTATTTCATCTTACAGAAGGGGAAACCTGAGTGACTTCTTGTTCTGCTCATTAGGAATGGGAGCTAGAATGACTGACTACTGGCTTAATACAGTCATGCACTGTATAATGACATTTCAGTCAACAACAGACTGCATGCACGACAGTGGTCCCATAAGATCAGTATCATATAGCCTAGGTGTGTAGTAGGCTATACCATCTAGGTTTGTGTGAATACACTCTATGAGGTCCACACGATGACAAATCGCCTAATGACACATTTCTCAGAACGTACCCGGGTCATTAAGTGACGCGTGACTGCAGTCCTCCTTGGACTGCACTGGTCTAGACGACACAGCATCTATTCCACCACATTCCTTCAGGTTAACTTTTGTCATTGGAATCATTTAAATGAATTTAGGTAGTTTACTCACCAATACATTTCCCTTTGTGCACCATGAGCTGATCAGGACTACCCATAGAGAAATACAGGATTTCACAAGAGCCAGGAGAATCTTCACTACCACATATAGAATATTGACGTTCTCGCCTTAAAAATAAATTTGGACAATAATGTTTTTTCTTTAATTTAAGATTAAGACAGGAAATTCTTGCCCCTCCATTTTCTCCTGTTTACTAGCCCATTCACAGTGTAACAAGTCTATACTGGGAATTGAGTTGAAGGTGTTAAAGCGAAAGTTGTTCAACTCTCCCTCTCCCCACTGAGTTCTCTCCATATGACCTCGACAAACCCCTAACCCTAGATCTGTGCTGTCCAATATGGCGGCCACTAGCCACATGTGGCTATTTAAACTTAAATTAAAAGTTCAGTTCTTCAACTTTAGTAGCCATATTTAAGTACTCAACAGCCACAAGTGGCTAGTGGCTACCATATTGGACAGCACAGAGACAGAACATCATCATCACAGAAGGTTCTACAGCAAGGATTTTGATCGATCCCACATCTCTTCATTCCCATGTACGTGTATCTGGAGAAAGGTACAAAACAGGGGAGTTTGGAGCACTACAAATTCCTCCTCTCCAGTTGGGCCCCCAAGCATTGAATTGCTCATTCGTTCTCTTACTTGTCTTTGGTAAATATCCTCTGCCATTCCCCTTCATGACTTCTCCAAGACACTAGAAGCCCAACCCCTCTTCCTCTCCTCTTTTTCTGAATGAGGAGCAATAGCTGGCAAGCTAGATTATAACGCAAAAACAATGAATAAATTGGGGGAGGGTTTTGCAGGGAAGAGGAAAGGGAGAGAGCTCTTAATGGTCAGGATTGACATTTGTAAGACACGCTTTGATGAGGCACGTGGACAGACCTCTAGAAAGCAGCCCTCTCACTCTAAGCATATCTTGACTTCTATTTTCACTTGAGAACATGAGGCAACAAGGAGCGAAGCCCACACTGTCTATTGTTCCACATATGAAGTTACTTGGTGTCTGCACCATTTTTTCTTCTTCCCAGACTCTGAGGAAGGACAGCTACCCTGTCTTCGGTTCTATTCCCTATAGTCTCCCCTGGGGTCTTGATCCATCAGCTAGTCCCTCTCTCCTGTATGTTCAATCTGTCCTTCTATATTGGCTCCTTCCCCTCAGCCTATAAATCTCTCTTACCTCCACACTCCCCTCCCTCAATCCTGCACCCCTAACCCCTCTTGTTCTTTATTTTCAAACTTCTAGACTTCTTGTCTCCACTTCTGCACCTTCTATTCACTCCTCATGCCACTGCAATGTCAATAAAACCACCACCTCCCTCCTACCCACTCAATCGGATTTTTCCCCTTGGTTCTTTTATTTTGGTTGGTGGCACAGTCATCCATTCTGTCTCAATCATCAAAAACGTGTGCGTCTCCCTGGGCTCCTAGATCTCCTGCATCTAACTGATCCCCAAGTATCATCCTCTCCTCTCCACTTCTCCTGCACTGCTGAGGTCATCACCAACTTTCTCCTGGACACGTGCAATACTCCATTACTAACTAGTCTCTCCACCTCCAATCCTACACATCTTCCCCTCCCCTACAACCCCCTACACAATGCTGACCAGACCTATTATGATCTGAGTCTCTCACATCACATGTGTCCCCACATATTCTAAACAGCAGGGAATGACTAACACATTGTAGTTCTGTTTAAATTTCTACTTCTAAAGTCACTTGTGCAACCATGGGCAAACTGAAATTTAGGGAGAAAAGGACAAAAGCAACGGCTTAAAATGATATGGTAGGGCCGGCCCCGTGGCTTAGCGGTTAAGTACGCACGCTCCGCTGCTGGCAGCCTGGGTTCGGATCCTGGGCGCGCATCCACGCGCCGCTTCTCCGGCCATGCTGAGGCCGTGTCCCACATACAGCAACTAGAGGGATGTGCAGCTATGACATACAACTATCTACTGGGGCTTTGGGGGGAAAAATAAATAAATAAATAAAATCTTTAAAAAAAAAAAATGATATGGTAGACTTATTAGCATAAATTACCTAGAAGCACCTCTACATCAGCTCTGCCCCCTCCAACACATGGTGCTAATAGTCATTTTAGTCTAGGTCTTTATGTTCTTTAGTTTACAGTATATAAACACCTGGTTTTAAGGTGTTTTTGAATATTAACCACCCCATCATGACTGTTAAGTACAAACACAAAGAGAATGTTAAGAGTGCTAGTGAGAAAAAATATATCATTAGGATTTAAATAAAAATAATTTTAAAAGTGAAAGTATCAAGAAAATGACAAATGTGTTACATGCCACACAGGACAGATTGTTTGACCACAGGAACAATTCCTGAAGCATAAAAAGTAAATCACAGTGAGTCTGAAAAGAAGTAATAAAGAGGCAAAATCCCATGTCATCAATGTCTCCTATTTTCACCCAAAAGATGTGTATATATTGGGTGTTCATACTGTCTACTTCAAACTCATCAAGAATTGGGTTTAGAACAACCTTTTGGAACCTATTCCATTCATAAGTAAAACAGCTTCTTAACTCCAGCAGAAATAGCCACCCCAATGCAAACAAATGGTATTTAGAAGCAATAACACTGGTCTCATTGTCAGCGATCTATTCTAGATTACAGAATTTTCATGGGGGCTTGCAATATTAGAAACATCACCCACGTTATCAGTTTTCCCAAGCAGCTGTGGCAGTACACAAGGATAAAGGGTGTTTTAAACAAAATTGCCAAATAATATTAACTAGGTCTTACAAAGGACAGAGAATTAGACATAATTCAGTTTTAGAAGACTAAATTAGGCATCTAGGACCTTGATACCTGAAAACAGAAGATGATTTTTTTTTTTTAAAAAAGCCAAGTGACAAGAAGAGAGGTGGCAATATGTCAAGGGGAGACTTGAGAATTGGGCTCCCATCCAAAAGACCGCTCCGCCAACACAGCCAATGATGTAGATGGCTGGGATGGGATGGAGGGAATGGAATCTCACTTGAGACACATGGGGGCTAGGACAGTCTCACTTTCCTGCCTAATTCACTAAGATGCCACAGAAAAATCTAGCTCTTGATCCCTCAATTTGAAACTCAGGGCAGATTTGTGGAAATAAAGTTAATAATAATTCCTGATATTGTTTAATTTGAGGTGAACCAGTCTATGCCTCCATGGAACCAGCCAGAGAAATAGCAAACAATGGAGGATCACAGGTGTGGAGAGCCCCATCAAGGATCTCCTCTTCCCCCACCCATATCCCTTGTACATTAGTAGCTCCCCAGCATTTTGGGGGAAGTGGAGGGAATCCCATGTCCTATACTCATCTCTTCTCTATAAGGATGAATAGCCAGCAGTTACCACAGCTGGTTTTAGGACAGGGAGAACAAACTAGGAGATAACCTGATCTTGTTGGATGGTGGAAATAGGTGTAAAGGGGAAATCCTAAATAGGTGTAATAGGGAAATCCTAGATTCTGGACTGCACTTTGGTAATCCAAAGAACGCAAGTCTGAAAATGTGAAAATAATTCTCTACCATGAACTATTTTATAGCAATGTTTTTTGCTTGTCCAAAAAAGTTCAAAGTGCCCATTTATGAGGTACCACATCTCTGGGAAGAGGGCAGGGATTGGGGAGGACGATGCCTGCACTTTACAAAAGACAACCCAACACTGAATTGTATACCTCAAAATGGTTAATTTTATTTTTATTTGAATTTTACCTCAATTGAAAAAAAAAAGTAAATTCTTCAAGGGGGAAAAAAGACATCTTGAAGGACACAGAAAATAAAGTTCTTCAACATAGGCAAAGACTCATCAGTGAAAAGCTGGGCCAAGAGACTGGGCCCTCAGGCATCAGGCCTTTAAGTTCTTTCTACTAGAACAGTGAGTGGTTTTCTTTTCTCTCTTTCTCTTCTTTTAAGCAGTAGAAACCTTTTGTTAAATAAAGCCCTACTGATTTTTGATCTATCCCACAGGAAAAGAAAAGCAGAGTTGCCCTGATTCAAGAGGCTGCAGACCGTAAAAGTGCCCAAAAGACAGTTTCTCCCTTTCCTTCTGTCATCCTTCCTTCCTCCCTCCCTTCATCAGATGTTTACTGAGCACCTGCTAAGTGTCTGCCAGGCACTGCTCCAGGCCCTGAGGAAAACCCAGATGAGGGCCTTGCTCTCAGGAACCCTACATTCTCATGACAGGAGACACAATAAAAAAGCAAACAAAAGAATAAGAATTTCAGCTAGTGATAAGTGCTATGAAGAAAAATAAAACAAAGAATTAGAGAACAAGCGACTAAGCAGGTAAGTGAGGCAGACGGGGTGCTCAGGGAAAGCATCTCTGAGGTCATGTCTGAGGCAAGAACTGATGATAAGGAGCTGGCAATGCAAAGTGCCAGAGGAGAGCGCCTCAAGCAGAGTGATCAGTGGAGGCCCCAAGACGGGAAGGAGCTTGGTGTGCTCCAAGCACTGAGAGAGTAGCGTGGCTGCAATGCACTGAAGGTGCGGGAGAGGGGAGAGTGGTATGAAACGAGACGTGAAAACCACTCCTCTATCCACTCTTCTCCACTTGTAGCCAGGAAGAACTTCATAAAGTGTGACTCAGACGATATCTTATTCCTGTTTAAAACCCCCAGGGGCTTCACATTACACTTGAACTCCTGACCTGGCCAACAACAAGCCCTCTGTAACCTGTTCCTGCCTGCCCTCCTTGAACTACTCTCTGAATGCCCACTAACTCTAGCCACACTGTCCTGTTTGATGAGCTTTGTGCACGACAAGCCCATGCCAGCCTTGGGTCTTCTGCACCAGCTGTTCTTCAGCTGTGTGGCTGGTTTCTTCTCATTGTCCAGAGCCCGTACCCCTCCAATCTAAAGCCATTCTCCTTTAGTCACTCAAAATCCAATCCTTGTATTCTTTCCTCCAAACATCCAATCTAAAGCAACCATCCGGTCTTTCTTCAGCCTGGCCTATTTTATTCTCTGCCAAGGACTAATCATTATCTGACATTTCCTTGTTTACTTGTGGACAGTCTCCTCTAACCAGAATATAAGGTCCATGAAACCAGTCTTTCTTGATCCTGTTTATTGAATCCCCAGGACTCAGAACAGTGTCTGGCATTTAGGAAGTGCTCATCAAGTATCAGTTGAATGAACAAATGAACATGGTTCTAGATTTTACTGCACTTAGTCACAGTCAATTCAAATACTGCCTGCTAACAATATTGATGATGAGGTCATCTCTACCAACTCTACTAAATGTATCTACTAACTGAAAGAATAAAACAGAACACTTTGCTTATTTCCTTTGACTTTCCAACCCATAAAGACCAATAAACAGCAAGGAAGAAAAAAAATCAAAAGAGTATACCCTGATGTACTTTGGCATGTCAAGGAATTTTTATTTCTTAACCAAAGAAGCATGTAAACTACACTTTAAGAAAGATTCATTCTTTCCTAGTCAGTAGCCAACATAGTGCCAGAGTTCCATGCAGGTATGTGTGACACCTTGGCAAACAACAGATGAAAACTATTTCTTTTCATTTGCTTCTTGGATGCTCATGGAATGTTGTCCTATTCAGATATACAAAAGACACTCTACAAGCACTACATAAAAAGTTGTTCTATATATGTCAGAGGAAGAGAGAATTTCCTGTTCTTTCTTCAATAAACTTGCTAATAATCTTTGATCTCAAAAGCAAGTCTAATCTTGGATCCACTTTTACAGTTAGCCACAAAAATGGAAATTTTTAAACTTAAATTGTTTTATATACCTAAAAAGACTTATTCATAGCATTGATTTATTTCCACTGTTTCTAACACAATAGGAATCTGTCAAACATTTCCTGGTGAAATGCTCTGACAACTTCAAACTATGTTGCCTACTGGAAGCCCAGTTGCAAAAAATAATCTAAATTGGTGTAAGGAGTTACAATTTTAAAATGGAATTGTTACCAGAAACAGTATTCAAAAAAACATTTAGTTCACCTTAGCAGCAGGTGGTTAAACATTAATATCAAAATGATTTCTGAGCTGATTTTTTTAAAAAGTAGATAATTAGGGAGAGAACTGAATGGTTCCTTCTTATCAACAAACTGCAACCAGAAAGTTTATATAAGTCTTTAGGTTGGTACCTAAAATGTTTTCATAGAAGCACAGTGTTGGTTTTAAGTGCTGCTTAGATTCTCAGAAGAGATAGTTTAAACACATAATGAAGCTGAGTTATAATACCTAGACTGCTTAATCATCCACCCACTCATAAATGGATTCCTTTTTTTTTTTGAGGAAGATTAGCCCTGAGCTAACATCTGTTGCCAATCCTCCTCTTTTTGCTGAGGAAGATTGGCTCTGGGCCAACATCCATGGCCATCTTCCTCTGCCTTACGTGGGATGCCGCCATGGCTTGACAAGCGGTGTGCCAGTGTGCGCACGGGATCTGAACGTGTGAACCCTGGGCCGCCGAAGCGGATCGCGTGCACCCAACCGCCACGCCACCTGGCTGGCCCCGCTCATAAATGGCTTCTGCGCTAAAATTCCTTTCTGGTCTACAGGGGGTCACAGCAAATACGTAGGAAAGTCTCAATTCTTTAGCGGAAAAGGATGTGGAGGAAGAGGCAGGGTCTTTCATGTAACTCCTGGTGGCAGGAAACAACCCAGAAGCCCACATGCAATGACGGGAAGCCCAATGTCCTCAGTAGCAATAGGGAAGGGAACCCCGACAGCAAATGGCTCCTGTTCTCATGCAAAGGATCTTCTACACCTGTGCTCATTTTGGAGCATTCCCTACATCTGTGGTGGGACCTAGGGAGTTAGACACTGAGACACAGTGTGAAGTTTGACTCGGTGATGACTCAGAAGAAAATTTTCTAAATTGCTTACTGAATAGTTGGATCATTAAAAGTCACATCAAACTACATTGGAGACAAGATTGTGAAGGACTGTGAAGGAGAGAAAATTGTTATAGGCCGGTTTCATTAACCACAACACTGGTTTCATTAAAAATACTTGGGGGGGCTGGCCTGGTGGTGCAGCGGTTAAGTTCACATGCTCCCCTTCGGCGGCCTGGGGTTCACAGGTTCGGAACCTGGGCACGCACCAATGCACCGCTTGTCAAGCCATGCTGTGGCAGTGTCCCATATAAAGTAGAGGAAGATGGGCACGGATCTTAGCCCAGGACCAATCTTCCTCAGCAAAAAGAGGAGGACTGGCAACAGATGTTAGCTCAGGGCTAATCTTCCCCACACATACATACAAAAAATACGTGGAAAGTATTAAAACAAGTGAAGATTTTATTTTATATTGCTAACTAATACATTAAGATATATAGGCTTTGAAAAAGTTATTAAAACTATTATCTTAAAATTCCATCAAATTTTATTCTAAGTTGTTTTAATTTTGCTCCACCTTTTATCCTTCCAGATCAGAAATCTCAGGGACTTACTTAGACCTTCCAGAGGAGTTGGTCCGATGTTTGCCATTTCCCACAAAGTCAGGAGAGCCTCCATGTAGAATGGCAGCTGTTCTGAGTCCTCCTGGGTCTTTCCTAGAGGTATGATCTTGGTTTGACAAACTAGCAATTTCCAAACGTTCCTAGAAAAAAGAAAAGTAAAACTTACTTTAGATATAAGTCACAAATGGAAGACAACCATGGTACCTAATTATAAATTCAGTAGAGAGTACATACTTTATTTAAGCTGAATGCCTACAAGTGTAATAAAGTTGAACTCAACTTCTAAAAATTTAAGGTCCAAATATGTACTGGTTCAAGAACTGAAGGCCAAGTTACAGCTTCAAGAGAATGTGAATTTTACAAATGAAAATGCTAGAATCTTGGAAAATGCGTGAAAAGTTAGGGAGAAGAGCAAGAGATGAACAGAAGGAGGAGACATTCAAAGCAGAGTGGCTGTTGGGAAGGCAGATCAGACCTAAGACAGGAGAATTGGTGGAAACTAATATCACCTTACATTTGTATACGGCTCTGTACTCTCACAGAGGGCAGTACATTTATCTGTGGGAATAATTACAGGAGGCAGAAAAAAAGGCATCATCAGTCCCATCTAAAAGGATGAGGAAAATGAGTCATAGAAAGTGTCACCTGTCAAGGTCACAGAGCCAGGTGTAAAAAAGCTGAAGCTTTAAGCCGGGTGCTGCTCACTTGTACATCTGTGCCTCCTCCCACCACACCTCCAAGTCTCCCTTAAGTTAAATGCCGTAATTATATAAATGCCAATAAGCAAAATTTTCTCTGGATTTCTCCAAACATGTATCACTGGTGTTTTGACTGAGCTGGACTCAGGAAAAAGACTATCCTTTTTCACCACTGCCTTTTAAACTTGTTCTATTGAATCCTGCCTTTCCGTCACTGAATGAAATCTCAGGCAGATCCACACGGTTTCCATTCACTCTTCAGTATGAACAATTAGTTTTATTTCCCAAGTATTAAGAATGCCAGTCTGGGTTAAGTATCAAAGCTTCCATCTCTTCTCTCCCTTGACTCATTTGATAAACTACTATAGTTACATAAGCCTAAGTCATCTACAAATAATATACAACTCAATTTTGCTACCAATTTGGGGAATCTAAAATAGACAATAAGTGATACTTGGGGTATATTTTTAGTGCTTCAGTTTAAACTTTACTATTGATAGCAACATAGGAGGGGAAAATATCATCAACAGCAATAAAAAGATTTTATGTTTAACAAAATGTAAACTATTTTAGTATGGCAGAATTGACAGAGTACCTGCTTAGCCATTTCTTTCCTTTTTTGGATCTCTTCTTCCCTTCTCTGAATCTCATGAAGGATTTCACGTTGCTGAAATAAATTATACCACCATCAAATGCCAATCTCTGAAACCCGTACAATATATAAATTCTGAAATCACAAAAAGCCTTTGAATTTCACTAATTCAAGCCCTCCTTTCCTAAGAGACCCGAGTATATAGAACCTTAGTACAAACTGTAGTTTCATCAGTTTTATCAGAGTTCTTATGCAATAGGCATTCCCATTTAAACAGGTTTCAAGACTGCGTAGGTAGGGGCACTTACTGCCCACTCTTCATGTTTCCATGCGGAGGGACTTTCCCTACAGCAACACCATTGGCCTCACTTCTTCCCACACTTGACAGCCCCTCCTCTTTGACATTTGCCTGTCTGCAGAGAACATGCACTTGTGCCTGCTCTCTGCCACTGGGTGCAGGGCCCACTTGGTGGAGGTGGGCTGAGCTGTCCTCAGGCCTGGACCTGGGGTGGCAACGGCACAGGCACCACACCGACACGCCATGGACCTTCAGCCACATTCTCCCATCAGCTTTCTCAGTATCAAAAGTGGCATTTTGATCTCTAGCCATTTCACTCATTTATCTATTGCTCAAATGGTTCTGAATTTAGGTAGGGAAAATAGTGTTTGTATATGAGTCCCCTAGAATTCCAGGTTGTAAATATCAAAACTATTAAGAGACTCACCAAAAACTATAACAGCAATAACACAAAATGTAAAAACATAGCCAAAGCTTATAGGTAGTTACAGCAGTACACAAAAATAAGATTGCTAGTTAAATATTTTTATCTTCTAATAAAAATGTGCCCTTCTAGAAATAACAACAACAATAAGAAACTTTAAACTCTAAAATGATAACTAGGCTACGCAATTAAATAGGAGATAAGCAGTAGCAAAATGAATGGGACTCACAAAGAGACAGTGTTAACATATGCACAGGATGAACAAAATAAAGCAGAAAAAAAAAAGAACCTGGAACAAGAACCGAAGAAAAGCAGGAAAAACAAAACCCTAGAAGTAACTGTGAGAAACAGCAACAACTAAAGGAAGAAAACTAGAAAGCTCACTAAGAGATAAAAACAAACAGAGAAACAATCCTGGATAGGAAGTCTGAATATTGTCAAGTTGTCAATTCTTTCTAAATGAATACATAAGTTTAGTGCAATTTTACTCAAAATCCCAGAGGGTTTATTTGTTTTGTTTTGATTTTGAGAAAGCCATCCTACAGTTTATCTGTAAGAATAAATGGGTGAGAATGGCTGAGGGAAAAAAAAAAAGAATAATGGAAGAGGAAAGGATGAGGGGCTTGAATTTTCAGATATTAAAACATTTATAAAGATATAATAACTCAAAGAGTGTGGTAGAGACTCAAGAAAAAACAGATGAATTGAACAAAATAGATAATTCACAAATAGAACTTAGTATATATTAGTTAAAATACACTTTAAAGGAAGTATTACAAATCACTTAAGAAAGAATGATTATTTAACAAATGTGTTAGGAAAATGGGAAAAAAAATAAACTTCGACTCTCATTTTTACAACCCACACCAAAATAAGTTCTAGATAAGTTGACTAAAAGACTAAACAGGAAACAAAAACCTAGGTTAAAAATCAAGAAAGAAATTTTGATGCATATATTATCTTTGATTAAATGATTTTAAAATAACACAGGCAAATACATCCTTATGGAAATAGATTAGAGAAAAAATACAAACAGTTAGTGAACACAAAGAAGTTCAATCTCCGGCTTTTGCTATCACTGGGGCATGAGATGCTTGGCCCACAGAGGGAAGAAGGAAACAGCCTCTAAAACTGATTCCTGCACAGCTTTACAAGCACAGAAAGACCACAAGTTAAGCTGACTTCTTTTGTTTTCTTTTCTTTTAAAGACCTGGACTAGGGGTTCTAGGGGCAGCACTGATGTTTGTGGGGAGGGAACCACTAACAGAATTTCTCAGTTACTCTTCGGGCCTCCTCTCCTGTGAATCCACACTTCTTGAACCAAATACTGAGCAAATGGCCGGCCTGGTGGCGTAGTGGTTAAGCTCCCATGCTCTGCTTCAGCAGCCCAGGGTTCGCAGGTTTGGATCCTGGGTGCAGAACTACACACTGCCCATCAAGCCATGCTGTGGCGGCGTCCCACATACAAAACAGAGGAAGACTGGCACAGATGTTAGCTCAGGGCAAATCTTCCCCACCAAAAAAAAAAAGAGGAGGATTGGCAACAGATGTTAGCTCAGGGTCAATCTTCCTCACCAAAAAAAAAAGGAGGAGGATTGGCAACAGATGTTAGCTCAGGGTCAATCTTCCTCACCAAGAAAAAAAAAATACTGAGCAAAACTTAAATAAAGCTAACTGTGTAGGCAGAGAAAGAGTAAAAACCTATAGAAGCTCGCAGTCCTCTGGGCTGATGCCCCTTAGTGACAAGGGTCTTACCTCCTGCTCCTTTTTCCGCTCGGCCTCTAATAGCCTCTGCTGCTCCTCCTGAGCCCGTCTTTCCAGCATTTCTTCATGAAAAGACTTGGGAGGGGGCTTGTTATGCTCATTGAGAAATGACTGCACATGGTAAGCCAGTTCAAATATCATCACCTAAACATGCAGATGAAAATCAACCACAAATGGTCAAATAAGGGGAAGACAGGGCCCAAAGGACAGACTACAGAAAGACATGCAGGCAATCAGAGACCCACTTACAGTAGTGATATTCATTTTCACACGACAGATTCTGAATTAGGGATACGATGCAATCACAGCAGGGAAGAGCTTTTATAGGAATCATCTCATGTTGCCATCAAGACAAATCACTATCTAGATAAATAAAAAGCTTCACTTTTCTTTTGTAGTCCTATTCAATTTATTGGCATTTTCTATATAATAAATCCAATAAAATATTTTTCTGTACAAATATATCTGATAAAATATTTAAGATTGCATAAAAGTAAAAACTACCTTCCCAACTAGAAAACCTGCCTAAATAATGACAGTTGCGCAGAGGATAATTGCCAACATGAGAGCTTTCATCTGTCCATTCTATTGGGGTACAGAGGCAACTATTTAAAGGCCTCACTATCTCCCCGCTAGTAATGGGCCAGTAGGAGGCGGATCGATACTTAGAAAGCACTTCATTTCCACTTAGGGAAGCATTCACAGATAGCACTAGAAAAAAAAAAGCCCCCCTCAGACATTCTTTATGTGAACATAGGAAGCGTCTTTCCTCTATCCCTAGGAGTCATAAATCATACCTGGGTTGCTAAATCAATAAAACAAGGGTTTCTGGGACTCCGCACTGACTGACTACCCCAACCCTAAAGAGGTCAAGAGTGCCAAGCTCGTTCTGCAGGTGAGGACCACCACTCTGAAGTTTCTCCTTCCTCAATTACAATGAAGCAGCTTAACAATTCTTATTTCTAGGGGGCCTACCAGCGAGGTAAACAGTAACAGAAGTCACTGTACACAAGAATATCAAGTTAGTTCACTTGGTGTTTACCTTTCTCTCGAGGAGTAAATACAAAGAAACCACAGCTACCGTTGGGGGAAGTTAATGCATTTTTATTACACCAGAAGCTGTGGCGTTCACTGGATATACCGCAAGTCACAGTTGAGAAACACTAGTCTAGAGACTAAGAGGTAAGTTCGTCCAAGAAAAGCTCTTTTAAGGAAAGCTGGAAAAGTAGTGGTTTCCATTACATCAAACAGAAGCCACTTCCACACCAGAAAGTAGCCAGGAGCCAAACAATGGAGGATTTTTCTTTTGCCAGTGTATTTAATTTACTAGCATTTTCTGTACAAACAAATCTGATAAAATATATGAGACTGGATGCAAATAAGAACTGGCTCTCATCCCTCTCTCCCCTGTATCTACATGGCCCATTGTCTTGCTTCTCTCAGGCCTCAGCTCAAATGTCCCTTATCAGAGGCCTTTCCTGACCTTACTTACAACAGCCACTCCACCATCACCTCGCCATACACATCTGCATCAGTCAGGGCTCTCCAGAAAACAGAGCCAACAGATGTGTGTGTATATGCAAATATAGAGAGAGAGACAGAGAGAGGTAGATATTGATTGATTGACTGACTGATTTTAAGGAACTGGGCCACGAGATTATAGAGGCTGGCAAGTCCAAAACCTGCAGGGTAGGCAGGCAGGCTGGAGACCCAGGGAAGAGGTCATGTTGTAATTCCAGTCCAAAGGCTGTCTCCTGGCAATTCTCTCTTCTATCAGGGAGACCAGTCTTTTTCTACTAAAGCCTTCAACTGCTTGGATGAGACCCACCCACATTACAGAGGGTAATTTGCTTAACTCAAAGTCTACTGATTTAAATGTTAATCTCATCTAAAAAATACCTTCATAGAACCATCTAGAATAATGTTTGGCCAAATAACAGAGTACTGTGGCTTAGCCAAGCTGACACACAAAATTAACCATCACAACATTTATCAGAACAGCTAAAATTAAAAAGTGACAACATCAAATGCTGACAAGGATGTGGAGAAACTGATCACTCACCTATTGCTTGTAAGAAGGTAAAGTGGTACAGCCAATCTGGAAAAGTTTGGCAATTTCTTACAAACCGAACATGTAACTACCATACACCCACAACTGCACTCCTGGGCACTTATCCAGAGAAATTAAAATTTATTTTCACACATAAACCTGTACATGAACATTTAAAGCAGCTTTACTATTAATAGCCAAAAACTGGAAACCATCCAGATCTTTCACCTGGTGGATGGCTAAACAATGGTACATCTATACCATGGAACATTACTCAGCAATAAAAAGTAACAACTATTGATAAATGCAACAATCTGGATGAGTCTCCAGAGAATTATGCTGAGTGGAAAAAAAAGCCAATCCCAAAGGTTACATACTGTATGATTCTACTTACAAAACATCCTTGAAATGAGAAAACTATAGAAATGGAGAACAGATTAGTGCTTGCCAGGTGTCAAGGAGAGGGTCGGGGAGCAAGGGGGTGGCTATAAAAGGGCAACGTTAGGGATCCTCGTGGTGATGGAACTAATCTGTATCTTGACTGTATCAATGTCAGTACCCTGATTATGATAGTATGCTATTGTTTTGTAAAATGTTACCATTGGGACAAACTGGGTAAAGAGTACATGGGATCTCTCTGTATTATTTCTTACAACTGCGTGTGAATTTACAATTATCTCAAAATAAAAAGTGTTATTTAAAATAAAGCCAAAAAAAAATAAAAAAGGGTGGCAACGAAAGCAAAAATAAACAAGTGTGACAACAACAAATTAAAAAGCTTCTGCACGGCAAAGGAAACCATCCATAAAATGAAAAGGCAACCTACAGAATGGGAAAAAAATCTGCAAATCATATATCTGATAAGGGGCTAATATCCAAAACATATAAGGAACTCATACAACTCAATAGTAAAAAACCAAACAACCTAATTAAAAAATGCACAGAGGAACACAACAGACATTTTTCCAAAGACGACATACAGATGGCCAACAGGTACGTGAAAAGGTGTTCAACATCACTCATCACCAGGGAAATGCCAATCAAAACCACAATGAGATATCACCTCACACCTGTTAAAATGGCTGTCATTAAAAAGACAAGAGATAACAAGTGTTGGCAAAGATGTGGAGAAAAAGGAACCCCTGTGCACTGTTGCTGGGACCGTAAATTGGTGCAGCCACTAGAGAAAACAGTATGGAGGTTCCTCAAACAATTAAAAATAGAACTACCATATGGTCCAGCAATCCCATTTCTGAGTATACATCCAAAGGAAATGAAAACAGTATCTTGAAGAGATATCTGCACTCCCATGTTACTGCATTATTCACAACAGTCACAAGTTATGGAAACAATCTAAACGTCCATCAACGGATGAATGAATAAAGAATATGTGGTATATGTACACAATGGAATACTATTCAACCACGAAAAAGGACATCCTGCTGTTTCCAACAACATGGATAAACCTAAAGGGCATTATGCTAAGTGAAATAAATCAGACTGAGAAAGACAAATACTGTATGTTCTCACTTATATGTAGAATCTAGAAAGGCTAAACTCATAGAAACAGAGACTAGAATGGTGGTTACCAGGGCCTGGGGGGTGGGAGAAACAGGGAGATAGTGGTCAAAGGGTACGAACTTTCAGCTGTAAGATGAATAAGCTCTGGGAATCTAATGTATCGCATTGTGATTATAGTTAATAATACTGTACTGTGAAAAATAAAGCAAAAAATTTTCAAAAAAAAATCACAAATCATGAATTCAAGACACCAAGAATATCAAGCATCTTGTAGCTGAATTTTCAATATAACTCCATACTATTTTTCAGTTAGACATCAGAGTCCCCTTACACTAGAAAGAACTCTGGAATAATTCCCAAGGCCTAGTTTTTTGTCCAGGCTATTCTACAATCACCTTCTGTACCTCAACAATCACTGAAGTTCTTAGAAATGCCAACTTAGGTGGGCAAAATTTTTATAGCCAAAAAGTACCTCCCGGATCACACTGTGACTCACTGTTTTATAGAATGCAAGTGAAAACGTATCCAGTCTCTTTACTAGAGGTCCAGAATAGACACGGAGGCCTAGGGTTAGTCCTTACTTAACTCTTCTCAGTTTTTACAGGATGCGTTAGTTAAGCATAAGCTGCCCGGGCAAAAACAGAGTGATTTTACAGCAAAGTGAGAAAAAGATGGATTACACTTCAATGGAATTTGTGGGGCCTAAGGAACATACAGTAATACTCTGCCCCAACACACAGTAATACTCTCTGCCCAGAGAGGGTTCTGCCACCCAAGGCGGAACTCATGTAGACCCTGACATGCAGAGGATTAAGAAAGAATTAGTACTGAACTAAGTATGAATGCTCAGGTAGAGAAGGGACATTGAAGGAGCAGAGTATGTTGCTAACTAGAAGGAAGGGAAACAATTAGTTCTTCTCGTGTGAAAAGGGGAGAGGTGGCAAAGCTTGGTCAGGAATCACTTGTCTGCAAACATTTTCCAACATAAAAGTTCAAGTCAAAATCAGGTCATGATGCCAGGTCCAAAGTGTACAAAAAGTATGGCCAGGGTCACATGGACTGTTTTCAGAAAAATTCTTAAGCATCCATAGTATCATCGAAATACACTGTACAATTTGTCATTCATAAAACCTGTAAATTAAAGAAATACAAATAGCAGTGTTCCCCTTTATAGATACCAACAAGAAACAAGGGGCTGGCCCGGTGGTGTAGTGGCTGAGTTCACATATTCCGCTTCAGCGGCCCGGGGTCTGCGGGTTCAGATCTCTGGCACTGACCTACGCACTGCTTACTAAGCCATGCTGTGGCAGGCGTTCCATATATAAAATAGAGGAAGACTGGCACAGATGTTAGCTCAGGGCCAATCTTCCTCAGCAAAAAATAAATAAATAAATAAGAAACAAAACATTCTAGTCAAAATTGGATTTGAGGTGCAATGGAAAAGCCTTTAAGCCAAAGAAAAGGCAGGAAGGCAAACAGTGGTGAACATGATGAGATCTTGACTGTCCTCTTACAATTCCAGTTTAACAAATCTTACCTCCCCACAGTGTTTTTTGGCCACTTCTTCTAGGCGGGATTTTAACAAATTAACACTTTCATTTGACAGACCTTTGGCATTCTTTAACTCTATTTCAGGGACTCTGGAAAAGAAAAAAATAAAAAGGAGTTACTCCAGGAAGTACGGTCTGTTTGCGCTAACATTTGCTAGCACTGGGCCTGGGGATTTCACACAGACCTCACTTGCGAACCTCTCCAGACCCCCAGCAACACTTCCTTTCATCTCAAAAGGATTTCAACTCTACCCCAGCAACGATGTTGACACAGTGCTTGACATGGAGTCACCTGTGGCCTGTGGGGGAGAAGACAGCTGGCCAGTTGTCAGTGTGGGCTGTCGGGTACCCTGCTCCCCAAGGTGACCAGACTTACTGGGGCTCCGTCCCAGCATCTCCCCCACTCCTCTGTCTCTAATTTCAGCTTTACAATCTGATTAAAATTTCCCACATCAACTCCTATTTATCGCCTTTTAAAAAAATCACTCCAGCTGTGTGTCTGACTGCAGCCTAGTAACTTAACCGTGCACTCCCTTGTACGGTCATGCTCAAGCATGGAGTACAAGTGCTTCGTGTCCGTTCATGTGCACTAGCATAAAGTATGACAAGAATAACTAGGGAAGATGGAGCCACGGTCACCCAGCTAGTACTCCCATGACACGCTGTGTCCCAGTCACTGATTGTAAACAAGGTGGAAATGCTCACTCACTCACGTATAGATCTGGTGGTGCACACTCTGCAAACTGCCTATTCCAAGGACGCCTAACTCACACTCCTCTTCATCCCTATAGAGCCCAACTCAGACGCAACACTTTCTACTCAAGGAAAGTACACAGCCAGCTCTCAGGTTCCCTTTTATTCCCAACTACTAAACACCCAATAACAATTCACTGAGCTTAAATAGGCTTTATTTAATTTTAATGAGATGATTCTCTACTTCCTACCAAGCATTTCTGAGTAATCCATGGTATTTTACCTTAGTAAAGCCTTTACTATTTATTTATCCATGCATTCTGTCAATGCTTTGTTACGAGAGGTTGCTACAAACGTGATCTACTGGAACAGATGGAAATCTGAGAAAGTACTGAGTCTAGGTATGATCCATCTGCCACAGTGCAATATATCTGAATGACCAAATATATATTGCTCATATATATTTGGTCTTCATCCACAGTTTCTGGCTCACAGCTCCCAAATGCCTTCGAATTTCCTAAGTGTTTAGTGATAAAGGTGTCTTTTGTTATGTTAATGAGGTAACTTTTGAAAAGCACCTAAGGATGGGGGCTGCTTGCCAACGGAGGCGACCATATAATTAGAGGGTTGGAACTTTCAGTCCCAACCCCTGACCTCCAGGGAGGGGTGAGGGACTGGAGGTTGAATCAACCACCAATGGCCAATGATTTAATCAATCCTGCCTACGTAATGCAGCCTCCATAAAAACCCAAAAGGAGAGAGTTCAGAGAGCTTCCGGGTTGGTGAACACATGGAATTTGGGGAGAATGGATCAGCTGGAGAGGGCATGGAAACTCTTCACCCCGTCCCCATACCCTGCCCTATGCATCTCTTCCATCTGGCTGTTCCTGAATTATATCCTTTTATAATAAACCAGTAATCTAGTAAGTAAAATGTTTCTCTGAGTTCTGCAAGCCGCTCTAGCAAATTAACTGAACCTGAGGAGGAGTTCCTGGGAACCTCTGATTTTACAGCCAGTTGGTCAGAAGTACAGGTGACAACCTAGGCTTGCAGCTGGTGTCTGAAGTGGGGGAGGGAGGGGTGCGGTCTTGTGGGACTGATCCTTAACCTGTGGAACTTGATGTTATCTCCAGGTAAATAGTGTCAGAATTGAGTTGAAGTCCTGGACACCCTACTGGTGTCTGAGAATTGTTTGTTGGTGTGGGGACCCCCCCCCCCATGTTGGAAATTGGGTCTCAGAACACCCAAAAGACCATCTAAACCAAGATTCTCTCTCTCACAGTGGCATCAAGAATTATTTTGCAGAAAAGGGAAGTTTTCCTGTACCATGTCATCTCAAAGGATAGGACTGTTCCCCCAAGTCAAGCTTTACATAATTATTTTTTAAAAATTAAGCAGTCATTATATAGCAGCATTAACAGATTGGTGAAAAATTCAATACTACTGCAACACTAATTACATTTTCTTTAAATTTTCCAATGTTCTCTTTATGCCTTTGCCACATAATTCATAATTTTATGTAGCTGATATAATGTTCACTTTTTAACTTTTTATAAGCATTTCCATGTTGTTTCTTAAATAATCATCCCATAATATTTTACCAAATGGACACACCAAGATTTACCTGAATAGTTCTCTAATGTAGTGGTTCTCAACCATGGGTGACTCTGCCCCCCAGGGAACATATGTCAATGTTAAAAGAGCAAAGAAGCTCCATGCCCCTTCCTACATTCCTTGCCTATGCACTTCTTCCATTTGGCTGTTCCTGAGTTGTATCCTTTATAATAAACTGGTAATAGGAAGTAAGTGCCCACTTGAGCTCTGTGAGTTGTTCTAGCAAATTATCAAACCTGAAGAGGGGGTTGTGGAACCCTGTGACTATACAGCCAGTCAATTAGAAGTATTGGGACTTGCAACTGGCATCTGAAGTCTCATGGGATTGAGCCCTTAATCTGTGGGGTCTGCAATAACTATGGATAGTTAGTGTCAGAACTGAATTTAATTGTTAGACACCCAGTTGGTATCAGAAAAGATACCACTTATTTGGTGTCAGGAAAGATAAAACCTCCAGAGGCACTGTCTTATTTTTCTTTCATAAATTTAATTACTCTTTAATCAATTCATTAATTAACTCTCTGCATACCTACTCTAGCTACTCTAGGCACAGTGTTTGGGGTAAAAGAGAGTCACTCACTTCAAGGAGCTTGTCTTAACCTATCTCTGTTTTCATACCCTCCACCACCTCTTAGGATAACAAATTCCATAAATTTACCACCCACGGTGTAAGTGCTTCCTTTTATTTGTCACTTTCTTCACTGGTTCCCTGCACAATAAGCTCAAACCACAGAACATCATCCAGACCAATCTGCCATTCCATGTGGAATGTCTGGAGAAAGATTACATAGAATATACGTGATACTTTGAAAAAAGAATACTTGAGTCGTGATGTTTAACACTTTTGCTCTGCCAGTGGTTTTCAACTAGATAACCTTTGGAAGTATCACCTTTGGGAGGAGTCTGGAAATATGTGGGGATTTTTGGTTGTCTCACTGACCGAGAACATTCCTGGTATTAGTGGGTAAGGGCCAGCTATGCGAAATGCCATGCAGTGAAGACTTGTTAGCAGTGCCCCCGAGAAGCACGGCAACTCTAAATCCTCCTTTATTCTGGGGAGTCAAAGTCCCATTGGGCCCAGAAGGCTACTCTAAGTCTTAATGTCAATCGTACTCTAAAACTAAGCACACAACGGCTTTAATAGTCACCACACCTTTATTCTTTTATCCTAGATTGTTCCTGTTCCTAGTTTATTAAGAATTAAACAAACAAAAGTCACCACGTCAGAGGAAGCAAACACTAGTCATGGAGCAAATATTAGTATCCGTAGTGACTATTCTACAACTATAAGCAGACTTAACACAAGACAGGCTTCATGAAAATGCCTATTGCTGACGTAGTTTTGATGAAATACGGGTAATAGGAAATGAAATTTTAAATGGAATGAGGGCTGGAAGGAGAAAATACCATGAATTTCAACCTATTTCTATGTTGTCAAAACAGAAGTGAAATCACACAAAAGCTATTTATAAACGTACTCACACATCTGGGTAGGTTGGTGGGCATTTAACCCTCAAATCCACCTTCACGTACACTTCCTCACCAGTCAGGCCCTGAGGGTACAGAACTAAATTGATTTCAGGGGGCTCTTTGACCTAAAAGAGAAAAAGAAAATCTTTTTTTTTTTCTAAAGAGCTAGTCATTAATGATTCAGATAATGATCATCTTAGCTCAAAAGTTCCACTTTTTAAATATTACATTTAAGTATATTTTATATAGGTGTTTGATCATATTTTCCTAAAGCATGGTTTAAAAACAAAACCTGTGCCAGAGGGAGTGCATTTTCTTTTTCAAAGTTATCTAAGGAGCGAACCAAACGCTTCATGTACCTTCTATTCATTCAAATGTCACTGAGTGCCAACTCTGTGCGGTGCCGTCCTAGAGGCGGGAGCACAGGGGTAAATTTAGACAGACCCGAACCCAACCAGCTGATACAAACTAGAAGACGCACGAATACTTTCAAACAGTGATGAGTGCCGTAAAGGAAGAAGGCAGAGTAATGGAACATAGTGGAGAGGGAGAGAAGGAAATTCAAACAGTGGGTCAGGGAAGGCCTCCTGAGAAGACGATATTTCAACGGAGATTTGAATACTGAGATAACAAGTGAAAACCCTGACATGGAAATCTCATAGCTCTTCTAAAATTGTATGTGCTTTCAACCAACTGCTTTTCACCAAATAACTAAATACTCTATTGTTCTTTATTAAATATCCCTTTTCCAAAAAAGACTTGAGGCAGTTCATATTATCTATGTATCAGGAGAAAAGGGAGGCTGAGGGAAGAAACATTTACTCATATGATCCAGGCACTTCACCAACTCTGCAAGGTGGCTGCCATCTCCATCTCACAGACACAGCAGCTCAGGCTCAGAGAGTTTCAGTTTCTTGCCCACAGATATACAGTGATAAGGCTGGAATTGAAATCCAACTTTGACTTCCAAATCTGTGTCTTCTTCACCAGCTACTCCCTTGTTAGTGCCAATCCTGAGTTGTTATGACTCAGTCTTGACTGTCTCGGAATGTCCAGGCAGCCAAGGCAAAAAGAGAAATGTGACATTACTTCACATTTCACAGAAAAGAGAAAGCATAAAAATTCTTAGGGGCAACAAAGTACTTGGCAACACTAAATTCTAATAGAAATTTATAACATGAACCTTACATATGGTACCCTAAATTACATAGGACACAAAGTTTTCATTAACTCTGTGTATAAAATATGTAAGCTCAGTTTTCACATGGCTTTATAATAACCCTTGATAAAAGCTGTGCTCCAAGAAAGCACAATTCTGTGAACATGGTCCTGGGAGGGTTAAACATCCCGTGATCCACGAGGCCTTTCATCCACTCATTCACCCATCACGCCTTGCCACCCACAATTATTGAGCGCTGCTTCTGTTAGTACACAGAGGTGAGAAAACAGACGTGGTTCCAGTCATCATGGAACTTCCGGTCTGGTGGCGGAAGACAAACAATAAATATGTAAGTACAAGTTTAGAAAGTGCTGATGAAGAGATGATGTGATGCCCTTGAAGTGTGACAGAACAGGCCACTCCAAAATATGTCACTTTAGCATAAGGATTATTTTGAGCTGAAGGTACTTGAAAACAGCAGGTGCAAGAAGGACACTCTGACCTCCTCTTTTCTTCCTGAAAGCAGGAGATAAAACTCCCACATGAGGGGCTGGCCCCGTGGCTTAGTGGTTAAGTGCGTGCGCTCTGCTGCTGGCGGCCCGGGTTCGGATCCCGGGCCAGCACCTACACACCGCTTCTCCGGCCATGCTTAGGCGGCACGCCACGTACAGCAACTAGAAGGATGTGCAACTATGACATACAACTATCTACTGGGGCTTGGAGGAAAAAAAGGAGGAGGACTGGCATGGATGTTAGCTCAGGGCTGATCTTCCTCACAAAAAAAAAAAAAAAAAACTCCCACACGAAAGATGCCCTCCTAAATCAGGAAGAAAGAAACATTCTTATCTCCAGAGACATGGAGTCAAGACCAAGAGAATTCTGTACAAACAGATCTTGTTAAAATAACTCTTATCTTCCTTTAGTCTCCTCATATATTTCACAGGCATACCTCGGAGATACTGTGGGTTCAGTTCCAGACTACCGAAATAAAGCAAGTATTACAATAAAGCAAGTCACACGAATTTTTTGGTTTCCTAGTGCATATAAAAGTTATGTTTACGCTATACCATAGTCTATTAAGTATTTGTTCAATAGCATTATGTCTAAAAAGACAATGTAAATACCTTAATTAAAAAATACTTTATTGCTAAAAAATGCTAACCATCATCTGAGCCTTCAGTGAGTCATAATCTTTTTGCTGGTGGAGGCTCTTGCCTCGATATTGATGGCTGCTGACTGATCAGGGTAGTGGTTGCTGAAGGTTACGTTGGCTGTGGCAATTTCTTTTCTTTTTTTTTTTTT